CTGCTGGTGAGGTAAGCGCGTGATCCCTCATTACCCATAAGCCCCGTCCAGAACTCATACACAAATCGTACCTGAGATGAGTGGTCACTGTTTGCCCAGTCTGTAACAAAGTAACAATGGACGTCAACATGAACTTGCGACAGAAGCATCACTCGTTCTCCGAGTGGTGGCGACCCATGTGTTTGCTTTAACATGGCACTCGATCTTCCTCGTCTGATACTATACATTTTGTTTTACTGTCACGCTTGCGCACAATCAGCAATAAAATACAAATAACAAACAAAATACAAACCAACAACAACAAAAACAAGAACAATATGGCTACTTTCAATTGGAACTTTAGATGGGAATGGTTTGCTTTCTTCATCTTGATCAGTCTGCCTAAGACGACCACCTGTCTTATACGGCCACTTTTCTCCTTGACAATTGGTGGCCGTCTTACACAGGTTTCACTGTATACAGTGGAATGTGGATTCAACATACTTAAATTCAACGACAGGAGACAGGTCCCTCGGGGGGGGGGGTTATTCATTAAAATTAAAATAAATAACTCGGATTCAACAAACACAAAAATGAGTGAACTTGGATTCAACGAAGTTGCAATAAACGTTGTCTACTTTATTCCAAGAGACCATTGATCGCACTTGCGCAGTGGATCATTAGATGCTTAGCCTAACCCATTGTGTACAGCATCTTATGCATCCTGTCAGAAGCCTTCTTTCACACCAACACGTGCGTTCACATAAGACATGACATGTAAGAGAGGTCGGTCGGGTGGCTGTTAGTGGGTAGGTTGGGGGAGGGGAGGTTTGCAGAAGCGTTTCGGGCGTCGAACATCGGCAAAGATAGAGACGCGTCACAATCATACACGGACGATATAGCAATCATACGATAAAACGTTAGGTGTAACAACAAAATTGTACAAAATTTGGACGATTGTACAATGGTTTGGAGACTCAGTCTAGAAATCAAGCCTTGCTTAATATTTTCCGTGCGATCACTGTCACGCTTGAGGGTGACGCGCTGTGACGTAGATTCACTTTGAAATTTGCCACTGCACAGAACTAAACTCAGGACTCAAAATTTTTAAAATAATTATCGTAGGTAAAGACTGATTTCATATTCGGAATCAGCGCCTCAAAATAAGCAAAGTTGCTTGCGAAGAACCTGATTTGGCGCGTTATTATATATATTTTAGCAATTGTATTATTTAGTTGATCGTCAAGGGTGAAGCTGTGCATCAAGGTTACTTGGTGCGTTGCATATTTGCTGCAGTCAAGTCATAGCTTCCGGATCTACACACAACACGGTAGGCCTACAGTATGGCCACCCTTTTCTAAAGACAGTTAAGACACTGTTCTGCAAAATCAAAATGTACAGGGGAAAAGGGGGATGGGGGCTCTCGTGATCTAGAGGTACAGTGTTCACCTTTCATTCATTAGGTCCAGAGCTCGAAACCTTCACATAGAGAGCAGGCAAATTGCTGTCGTCGCAAAGAGACATGGTGGCATTATGACGAGGAATCTCCTTGGTCGAATGAAAACTGGACCATAGATTGAAACGAGTAAACAGACAACACAGTTCAATAAAATGGACTGTTCTCTCATACGATGAATCTGATACAATTTATCGTTGCGTGTAATCGGGGCTTGAATCTGATTACGTAACCGCAAACGAAATTACATGAAGTGGGACTGCTTTTGGGGTAGTGTGTGAAAGGGCTCTCAAGTTCTCAATTGCTAAATCCAGGACAGTCCGTGAAATTAGACAGTTGGCAAGCTTGCACCTTTTACTTTTTCCTCTATCCTCTCCCACAAAAGCGAAAGCAAGATGACGTATGAATCAACGTTAGTCAGAAGACATTCATTGTGTCAAGCGTGGTTCAGACCTCATGCATGCTGAAATTCCAAAACAAACAAGTCAGGAAGTCAGATGCAGGTATATCAAGATGTGACTTAAATGCCATACCATAAAAAGACTTCAAGTACTTGACACATTAGTCCTACAACTACCCATCAACAGAATTCAACTGCACAGTTTATGAAGTAAAAGTTGTTTCAGAAGAAATTTTGCCTCTACTTCTAGGGCAAACTGTGACACTACGTTTTGGGATCTTATTTGGGTTAAGTACAAATAGGGCAAACTGTGACACTACGTTTTGTGATCTTATTTGGGTTAAGTACAAGAGAAGCACATCAGCATGATAACAGCCATTTTGTGCAAGAAAAAAACAAACAAGACAGACAAGAACAACAGGGGGAAAGAAAAGAAGAAGGACCTACCAGTGGCGCCCTCCAACCATCCGCTTGGGGTCTTAGATGTTAACCACTGTAAACCATATTTAACCTTCGTATCGCTATTATTTGGTATAGTAATACCTCAAAGTTGTAAATATACTTTAGTAGCCTACTACTACTAGTCCACTTTCTATGAAGTGACTTACAAAATGGCAAGATAAAAGCCTCTACAAACCAGGCTAAAAGCTAACAAAATCAGTTGCTGTACTGTTTAGCTTGTCAATACTTTTCCAAAATCTTGATACTAGTACTATGTTAAAAAGTGGAATGATTATTTTGGGCTAATCCAGCTTATTCTGAAAAGCAACTAATGATCTCTAGAAGAAGAGCTGCTCATTAGGAGCATGAAATTAAATACAAAGATGGAAAATACAAAAGGGAAATGATTAGTAAACGTCATGAAAGACCCACAGTGATCCCCAACAAAGAACCAACAGCAGGACAGATATTGACTGCTGATTGGAAGCATCCGTTATATATGTCAATTTCCAAAACTTGCAGTCTTACACTACTACTAAGCAGCTGATGCGGTGTCCATTCCTACTCTTTTCATTATAATTTTCAAGGGATTCTCTTCCTTTTCCTTGCACAACATCTTTCTCCTCATACAAATGTTGTTTTTTCAAAGGACCGAACAGACAAATCATTTACAGTAGCAGCTTAGAAACGGAAACAAAACTAATAACTTAGTAACTAAGACTCCAGCAAAATTATAAAAACAGAAAAAAGAAGACAAGTGACAAATCAAGTAGAGCTGTAGGCGATGACATAGTGCTGTTTTATTTCACATGTATATATATCCTTTGACAGTAATAACACACAACTTAAAATACAACAAACCCATCACAATTTACAATTACAAACAAATTTGAAGCTAAATGTGCACAAATCAGGGATTCATTGACAGGGAGTACTTAAAAGTTAAATGGAATGGCCAAATGAATTTTTTTTAAACAAGTAAGTAGACAAAATGGTAATGTACTGTAAATCAGATAGATCTCAGATACTGGGGAAGAGAACTTCAATGATTGAAGAACACAAGCTCCACTAAATTTTAATGCTTATTATTAATTAAATGGATATCCAAAAACAAAATTTGCGACAAAACAAAGTGTAGATAAGAGACAAGATATTGATGATCAGTTAGAACAAAGAAAGGACACATCAAAATCTGAGCCCACTTTTATTGCTTTGACTAGGCTTAGAAACAATATATTTGTTTGCATTATGCTTCACATGCAAATAGAGGAAAAGGAAAGGAAGGGGGAGCAACAAAGTGAATGACTGGGGTGGGGGGGGGGGAAAGAGAGAGAGAGAGAGGGGAGAGAGAGAGAGAGAGAGAGAGAGAGGGAGGGAGAGAGAGAGAGAGAGAGAGAGAGAGAGAGAATCTTTCAGAAAAGATCCTGTAGCATATTCACATATTATAAAGTCTCACTTCACATATTATAAAGTCTCACTTCCTACACATGCTCAATTATAATTCAAAACTTCAAAACTCTGTACCAGAGTCACTGAGAAAGGAGCTACAGTTATGTTCTGTTCTTAAACGGCAACCGAAAGAGGCTTATTTTTCTCAAAATAACACGAGTCGATCTTCAGTTTTCAAAAAGATTTTAAAAGTTTGGAATGGTTGCACTCCATTTAACCACCAAACAGAATCGACCTCATGTTGTCAGTACACAGACATATTAATCTACTACATCTCACCATTCACCAAGGAGTGAGAAACAGTGAAGGGAGACATATTCCAGAAGATCATATTTTCAACATGACTCGTGCCTTTATTGAAGTATGTACAAATATCTAAAAATCTTAATCTTTGGTCAGCACCAAACTGTGTACTATTATACATATATATTAAAGAAAAATATATGTACATTATATTTTTGCTAAAAAATATATTTTAAAAAAAATCAATTAACTTATGGGTGATGAAATGCTAGTTCTATGTGTCAGAAATATTGTGAGAGAACCTCTCACAAAATAAGAGTTCATCATGAGTATTCATGCCTAAACAGTACACTTTATGTGTAATTTATACTCACACATACGCAACCCCCCCCCCCGAAAAAAAGTTCCAATCAACACACTTCAGTTTACCAGTACTCCATCTTTTAGAAAAATTAGATAACCTGGATAACAACCCTAATCCAAAGAAATGCCTCCCACAAAGGTTTTTGAACAACTACTAAATTCAAGACAATGTCATTTCTATTTCATGAATTTTGCTTTATTTCAAGTTATCATGTTAAGAAACAACATAATCAATGAAAGAACAGTTGAACAAAAGATTCATAAGGACATCTTGGCATTACTTTCAGAGGCTGTAATTTCTGTTGAACTGTTTTTTATAAGTTATATTCAGAAACAAAAAAGGAAAGTTGAGTCATAATGAGGAATCACATGGAAATTTAGACAAATTAAAGAAATTAACTCATGCACAAAATTAAAATGTAAAATGTATGGACAACTTCCTGTTGAAGCACTACGGATCATAGCCCATCCAAAAAAAATAAAAAAATGAATCAGTTCAAGTAACAATGGACTGAGATTTCTCAAAAAGTTTTCCACTCACAACTTATTTTCTGGCAGCATCCACTCACAATAACCATGCACAAACATGAAAATAGCCATTTGTCTCCTAACAACCAATGAAATAAACAGGAACTGACACCAGTAATGACAATTTTAATTTCATTTGAAAATTAAACAAGTGTTACGAACACACACCTTAATAATGTTATACAGAGCAACTGAAATGTCGCATCTTAATGGAAAGAAAAGACAGGTACACATGCTCATCAAATATAGTACACATCATTGATAAACACAGAAAACTGAAAAACCCTTTCGCAGAGTCTAGTAAATAGCAGAAAGAAAAGTGTAGTAGGAATACCTGAGACGGGATGAACACAGCAATCTATCGTTTTTGGGGGGGCTTCACTACCACTAACATTATGAACTGTCTTTTTATTTTATTAATTCTCCAAAATCTGAATATAACTCTAAATGAAAAATAGGAAACAGCATGGCACAAACTGCTCGAGCGAATTCAGACTTCCCCTTCAGGTTGATATTCTTTTTCTCCTCTGAGCGAGCAACACCGAAAGCCAACAACAAGTATACACATATTATGTACACATTTGGCTTCTGTCAGCAGCTTATATAAATATTCTAAACAACTTTAAGGAAAAAGAAAACCAGAAAAAAAAGGAAAGATATAGAGGAGGGGGATAATCTTTGTTCCCATTTCATGGAGTCTTGTCTGAGTATCACTTTTCCAAAATGTGTTAATACTTTTGTTCCACAGACACATTTCCTTACATCTCAGCCAGGGTAGAGCATAAGCAGTTGTCTGTGAAGGTTTGGGTCACCACAGTACGAAGTCACAGAGCCCACACCAGTCTCTCAGAGTATAACGCAACATTGATTTGTCTTTTTCGCCTGTCAACAAAAAACAAAATCAATCAATTGAATGAGAAATCTTGAAACATATTCTTTTGTTCTCATACAATCTTCAAAATCCATCACATTTGTCTTCATTTCTAGGCAACAATCCTGATCAAAGACAGCGGTCTCTGCCCAACGGCAGTCATTGGATGGGGCTGTCAACAAGCACCCTTTTTGAACCAAAAGCCTCATGACATGATCTCATTCAAAATCTGAATGATTCTCATGACATCTTTTAATCGTCTCTCAATTACTTCCGACCTAATCATTTCCCTTTCCTTTAAAAAAAAAAAAGCACCAAGAACATGTTTCAGTCATGCTCTCCTTTTCAGACTAGACTCCATTTCAAATATTTTTTTGGTCACTGTCCAGCCCTACACAAAGAACATTATCAAACTTTTCATATCACACCACCAAAAAGAGCTTGCTGTTTAAAAATACCATTACATTCTCCGTCATAAAACCTTGACACATAAGGCGTCAACAGAGCTACAAAAAAATACAACATCACTTTCATTTCAGGTTGGCATTGAAGAGCGAAGGACAAAACGTCTGTGATATCATTCACCAATATCTAGACCTTTGAGAGATTTTCACCATGGCCCACTTTTGTAGTTGGTAGCTATTGTCAAAAATGAATCTTGCAATGAGAGGAAAAAAGATCCTGCCTCTATCCATGAGAATTACAAAGTAAAGAATTCTTCATAATAAACAGAATCATATATACAACTGAGCTGAGCTTGCTTCCATAAATCATGCAATTTATAAGGCAAAGACTACTAAACCTATTCAAATCACAGAATCTGCAACCTCTACAAAAAGAAAATGCCGGCCTTTTTTTTCTTTTCGTGAATCTTTTGCAAATATGGTTTTTTTTTAAAAACCCATAAATCTTTTCATGTGCATATTCAGACATTCCTGCTCTTATGGCCACTTATATAAGACAATCACTTGTACCAATGGCTACTTCCTATTATGTCATAACATTTTGTCACATTATAATGACAAGCTAATTTGTCCACCTGTCTAAGACATTTTTCTCCAACAGGCAGTGAAGGCTGTCAACAAAATAACTTTAATATCCTATGAAATATAATCAAGCTACCAAAAAACCACCACTCACCGTTTTATAGAAGGTTTTTGATTGCATGCTGAGTCCCTCCGATTTTTCCACCAGGTCATCCAGCTTTTCCCCTCTCTCTAACACAGCCTCAATTGTGTTGTGCTGGAAGAAAACAAACGAAGAAGGGATTGCTTATTTTTCCTCACAATCAATAAATGTGAGGCAGCATGGTGAAATTGGGCACTCGTCAAAATACAGAAACTGGAGAAACGCAATTTTCCAACAGTTTGGAAATTTTTATCAAATATTTATTTTTTGGCTCAACCTCTTTTAAGTCCATACAAAACCACATTTTTGGGTGAATCATACTAAAAAAACATTGATTAAAGTAACAAAAAATGTCATTTTTCTGCTTTCAAGGACTCTTTAGCTCTTGGAGTTACCAAATTTTGGCGGCCATTTTCTCCTTAATTTCACCACTGAAACCAGGCGACCTCACGTCCTTCAATCGCAAATATCTTGAGTTCTATTTAAGATACATGGAATTTATTTCATCTGAAGCAAGGCAAATAAATCAGCTTTTAGATAATACCAATAACTCCACATGCCTAAAACTTAATGAGCGCCTGATTCCACTGCGTCGTGACACAAATATGCATCCTTATGCAAGAATTTTACACCACTTTCAAAGAGATTGAAAGAACTAGGCTATTTAAAGCAAAGGGTGGCAAAGAGGATGAGACTAAAATGACATTATCATGCCTTTTGTTAAAGAATTTGCAGTAAAAGAAAGGATAAAAAAGAGGACATTAAAAACTTTGGAACTGATAATCACAATTTTTCTTCAAAAGTAAAACTTTAAAATATTGTCAATGTTTCCCAAAAAATAATATAAATATTTTTAACAGACTAAACAATCAAATTCCATAACTTATGAACAAAAATAAACTGAAAATCAATACTTGTAATCAAACCAAATGCAAAGCAGCATGATGAAATCAGGCGCTCGTCAAAATGATGAAAGTCAAGAAATATGCATTTTTCCGCAGGTTTCGGAATTTTTATCAAATTTTTGTTTTTTGGATCTAAACCTTTCATGCCCATTAAAGAACACATTTCTGTGTCCCTTTTACTGAAAAACGTTGATTAAAGGCAGAAATTTTTTTGGGTCAGTTCCCACCGACTCTCAAGCTAAAGAAATAACTCAACTGTGGCGGCCATTTTCTTGCTAATTTTACCTCTGAAACCAGGCGACCCCACCTCCTTCAATCGCCAATTTCTTGACTTGTATCCAACATAAATGGATATTTTTACATTAAAAGCAAGGCAAATGGACGGGCTTTAAGATGATGCCAATAACTCCATATGTCCCAAAATTGACTAGGGCCTCATTCCACCGCATCGTGACACATTATATTAACATCTTCAAAGCTAAGAGACATCAATGGCTTGTTAATTCAGATTAGCAGCCTCATTTCACAATATTTATACTTTTGCCTTCATTCAGCTGCCTTGAAACACAGTTGTCATCTTTTAACTCATCAAACTTGACTTTGCCACACCTGGCATACAAAGTTGCAAATAAAAAAATAATGAAATTGAAAACGGCAAAAAGAGGAACGATGAAACACCAACACAATGCCACTTACCAAAATAATCTTGGTCTCATCCAACTCTGACTGAATCTTCGTCATCGCATCAGCCTCTTTTGGATTCTATTGTGAGGGTAAAAAACAGCATCATGTAAGGTTATAAACATAAAGCGTTAGAAGTACCATTCACAACACAGAGTGAAGAAACATCACAAAAGCTCAATTGGAAAAGAACTGGATATCATAAGCCGATAAAATTGGTGAAAAACAAAATATGACATGAGTAGGCACTTACTGCATACCTTTTAAAAAATGTTTTGCACACTACTTGAATTTTCGATTTTCAAAAAATCCTCCTACTCAAGTTGTTCATAAAAATGCATTAGAGCCCAATAAAAGAATTTGTATTGCTTACTAATATTCATCACTTTCACAAGAATTCAGACAGAGCCTGCTATATTATGTTACATCTGTGCGTACTGGTAAAGCATACAAACTATGATCCAAGAGTATAAAGCATGCATGCAATGTTTTCTTTGAATTCGCCTTCTCTGCAACACGACACTGGAGTGCACTTAAAAGTGAGATGGCCAAAAACAAGTATACATCTTGGTGTAGGTCAGACAACATACATAATGCTTCACTACCCTAGAATTACAAAGTTATATCTGCTCTAGTCTTGAGAATACGATTTGATAGAGCAGATAGAACATTTGGTTCCTGACCTCAAGGGCTTAGTAACTCAATACGGCCAAAACTGTCAGGCAGAACTTTGAAATTCTAAGTTAGCAACTTAGCAACTGAAATCATGAATTCATAACATTCGTGAAAAACGAAATGGGCAAAAGCAAAAAATGTAAAGAGCCTGCCAAAAAAATTTAAAAAGAAACCTCTGTGCAGTATATCTAGGGAGCAAAACTGACCAACAAATAACAATAAAGAATCAAGTCAGCTGACTGATAAACTGACCATCACCATTGTCCATTGAGTTATTCATTACCTAACAAAAACATTATCTCAAAAGTAATGTCATGCTTTCTCACATTTAAAAAATGAAGTCATCCATTTCAATAGTAAGAATTTTAAATCGATACTGTGAATGCACCACATCCAGAATAAACATTGAACATAAAACACTATGTCTCACTGACTTACCTGAAATTTCTGTAAGTACTCTTGTAGCTCAGGATAGACCACATCACTGTTGGACACAAGAAAGAAAGAAAAATGAACAAAGATCTAGAACGGGAAAAGACAAAGCACCCCGCCCCCCTCCCGCGTCCAACCCTTTCATGTGTTCTACAAAAAAATTAAACAGCAAATTGTAAACTATGCCAGAACAAAGATCAAATCAAACAAAGGGCTTTGGCAAAAGAAGTGAGTGTCTCACCTCAGGGCCAATGAGGCTGCACCAGATTTTTCCTACACACAAAAAATCAAAATGCACACTTCAATATCCCATAACTTAATAAAGCTATTGAAGAACATTTTCAACATGAACTGGGGGAAACATATTCCAATTTGTTCAACTGCTTACAATCATAGCAAAAAGAGAAAAACACTTTAAAAAACAAGGTGATGTCATTAATAATGGAAGGACAACTAAGCCCAGAAAACCCGAACATATCAAACTCCAAACGCTTTGCTGTATCAGCAGAAGAATAATGATTAACAATATGTTTTAATGTTTTAATAAGTCAATATAGTGTAAAGCGCATAGAGCCTGCTGTTGAGGGGGGATTTGCACTATACAAATGCTATCTATTATTATTATTATTAAGTTTTAAAAAAGAGGGGGGGGGGGGGGTAGAGAGTCTCAGGGTGTCTTACTTTTCTTTCACCGATGACCAGTTTGTCTTGGGACACTTCTGAGGAAACTCATCTAGAACCTGAAATCAAAACAAAAGTGAAATCTGTAAAGTATGAAAAAGGCAATAAAAATACAAATTGCAAGAGTACCAATAGTTTCTATGATGTCACATTAAACACGGTGACCCACATAGAGAAATGATCAAAGGTCAAAGGGCCAGGACTCATACTACTTTCACATATGATAAGAAAGAAATCTTCAGACATGGTCATTGAACTCATTACTGAAAAGAAAAGCTGTTTGTTTGATGCCAGTCAGATAAATCTGCAGAGTACCAGCATAGCTCAACGTCAGAGCCTGCATTCAAAGAGTTGACAAGATTATTTAAAAAGTTTGGCGTCTGATTGATAGGGTTCTTCACCTTCCAAAATCAATCATTCACGAAAATGCCTTACAGCAGCTGGGTTATCATTAAGTGTGGACTTGCAGGCCCCAAAACAGCACCAAAAAAGACTTGGACATTTGAACATGGGCACTTTGCTCAAATACAGGATCTGCCAACAACTCAATGTCAAAAATAAAATTTTTCCTCAGGATCCTTTCAAAATATAGGAGTTGGGGGATGAAAACCAGATCAGGTCAGCTATACAGACTGGAACATATTGTTACATCCTTCATACAGTCCTGGCCTTGCACCATCACAAATATGTCTTTTCGAGCCCCTAAGGTGATATGTAGCTGGAAAAAGGTTGACTACATTCTCTTGACCAGACTGTTTACAGAGGCAATATATGTGAGTGTGCCTGGTGAAAGGTATCAAATGATGCATTTTGAAGAATCCCGGGGTTATTTTGCATTTTCATGTACAGGGATCATTTCTGAACAATATGCATTTTGAATTTTTAAAATATCTTCAGTAGTTTTTGAGATATGGGTGATTTTGTAAGGCAGGTTACAGAAACAAAGTTTTGAGAAAAACAGCTTTAAAGTTTCCCCTTCGTTTTTGCTTCAAATAGATAGATCTACGCTTCGAGACGACCGTACAACACATTCGCTACTCACTAACCAACTTTAAAAAGCAGGTAAGATAAAAGAACAGCTTCAAAATGTTTATAGTATGTCTTCAAAAAACAAATTCGCCACCACCTTGAGCAAGAATTTTCAAGAAATTAGATCTAGGTTTGCACAGGGAAGAAATATGCGATACAAGTTTGCTCTCCAAAAAAAAACAAAAGGGTGTGGAGCGCAGAGCTCCGCTTCGTTTACATGTTCTAGATATTCAGGCACACTACTCGCCATTAGAGAGGGGAGAGAATGACCTAAATTTTGGTTAACATTGTGATTGGGTCGACTTTATGAATGGACAAGAGAAACCATCTGCAGTGAGTAGTCAGAAAACCAATTAGCTCACACATTTTTCGGGATTATGCAATACCCCTGTTATAAAACAACTTTGAAAGTGTATTTTAAGGTAAAAGAAACCCAAGCCCTTGTACATTAAGAATCCATTTTTAATGAAAGTTAGTTTTTGTCAAAAATTCTATTTTTGATCTTTGAAGCCTGATATCTCGGTTCGAGCAAATGAGTCTTTTCGTACCTTTCACCAGGTAGGCTCACATATTCTCAGAATTGCAAATAACAAAAATGCATCAATCTTTTGGGGGAGCATTTTGAGAAAGTAAAGTAGCAGAATGGTGTTACAGCGTGTCCACTTTTGTACGATCATGGTTGAAATAAGATAAAATGAAATCGCTTTGTTTAATCTTGTCAGATCTTTGTATACAGCTCTAAAAGTTGGATGACCAACAGAAACTAAAAGCCCATTTATAAAGGTCACTGTAAACTAAGGTTCCGACATGTTGTATTTGATAAAAGTCTAAAGCGAATCAATAAAATAATAGGGAATTTAATAAAAGCTGGCATATTTTCCTCAACACCATACTCTAAAAAATACAATTCAAGAGACAGGGTGAGTAATTTTCGAGACTCACATGGATGGAGCTCATGGAAACGTCTAGACAGGGGAGGGGGAGTGAAATTTGCAAGCTTACATTAAAGTGAGGGTGAGGGAGCAGGATTGTGTAGCTGTTTCTAAATGAGCAGTTTTCCAGTAAGATTACAGGAAGTCATTTATTTCAGTGAACCTGTATAAGCATCCAAAGAGCGGTTTTTAATATAGGACCCAAAGAGAAAAATATTTTTATTACTGGATCAATATTTTTTTTATCAAGTCTTTTTGTTAGGTCGCTGGTCTGCAGAAGTGCCATGTAAAGTTTCATGGGCATAGGTAAGTTAATAAATGAGCTAAAAAATGTTTTACGCTGTCAGACAGAACTGAACAAGCTACAGTACATAATGTGCATGTTTTTCTCAGATCCATATATAAAATTGCCAACTCACTGGTCATTTTCACTTTACTTTCCAAACAGCCGCAGCACCTGATAAAACAACTTTCCATGTGCCGAAATCAAACTCATATTTTAACTGAAGAGCCTCCTAACGATTGCACCAAAATGCAAACTGTGACAACTAAATGTACTCAAAATATCTCAATTGAAACTTGAGAAAAACAAAGCTTCTCTTCTATCTAACAAATCACAACAATTTATCAGACATCACCAAGCCTCAGCATACCTTATTGATGAGTGTGTGTGCAACTCTCTGCGGGTACTCATGATCTCCTATGACAACCCCAGACAGGTTATCACTGCGTACATACACATGGCATATATATTCTGAAAAAGAAACGCATGGAAAATCAACATATGAATTGTTTAGAATATCAACAATAAAAAATAAAAAAACCAAAGCGATGGAAGTATAAAAATATAAAATACGGTTGAACCTGCCATGACGTAGGCTCTTCCATGTCAAGTGATTCATTAAATTTAATGCCGAAGTCCTTAGAAACATTTTCAGGGTCCCCCCCCTGCATTTTTTTCTTTATGTGAGGCAGCATGGTCAAATCAGGCATCTGTCAAAATAATGAAAGTAAAGAAACTGGCATCTTTGTGGTGGTTTGGCAATTTTTATAGAAATTTTGTTTTTTAGCTCAACACATTTTTTGTCCATTTAAGAACCCATTTCTGCATGAATTTGACCGAAAAATGTTGATTTAAGGAACAAAAATGTAAATTGTCAGTTTCCATGGACTCTTAGGCTATGTAAATGACCAACTTGTGGTCTCATAGGCTATGTAAATGACCAAATTGTGGTGGCCATGTTCTCATTAATTTTACCTCTGAAATCAGGCGACCCTCACAACCTTCAGTAGCAAATACCTTGACTTGTATTCAAGATAAATGGGTGTTTCTTTCATAGAAAGCAAGACAAGTGAGCAAGCTTTAAGGTGACACCATTAACTGTACATACCCCAAAATTGACTAGAGCCTGAGTCCGCCGTGTCGCAACAGATACAATTTAACAGTGTAAAACGGTCACCTGTCCAACATGGCCGCTGCCACCTTATTTTTATCAACCCGCGGTCAAATTCACTTGGCCAGGGCAACCAAGCGTGGTCACTCATTGCATGACGCTCTGTCGTCATAAATTCCGAATCCCCCCCACCCCCAACGCTGTGGACGGGCCGCCATGATTTATTCACCTGTCGTTATTGTTAGTCCCTCCAATGAATGTTTACTCAAGTTGACCAATGGCTAGGGGTAAAAATATATTTTCAACTGCTGGTGAAGAAAGCGCGATCCGTCATAACCTATAAGCCCCTCCCGCAACTCATGCACAAATTGTAGGTGAGGTGAGGTGACTTGTCACTGTTTTGTTTACCATATCTGCAACAAAGTGTTACAAAGTAATAATGGCTGTTAACTTGAACTTGTGATAGGAGCATCGCTCGTTCTCCAGGTGGTGGCGACCCGAGTGTTTGTTTTACCATGGCACTCGGTCTTCATTGTCTCACATGTTATTTCGTTTATTTAACCCTTGCACAAAATCAGCAACAGAAAGAAAGCCAACCAAAAAACAAACCAACAAAACAACAACACAAAAAAAAACCCCTTCTTACACCACCCAGCCCCTTTTTCAAAAGAAAACAAAAACCCTTTTGAATTACCCTTATGGGAGCCTAAAACCTGAGATCAGCCCGAGTTTGGACATCAGAAGAGAATGATTTGCTTTCTTCATTTTGATCAGTCCTGCCTGAGACGGCCACCTGTGTTATACAGCCACTTTTTTCCTTGACAACGAATGGCCGTTCATGTTTGACTGTATATTCAAGCTCCGTAATACTGAATCAACAGTAAAACCTGTCATAGATTCTAGAACAAACAGAGTGCCACCAGTCAACTTTTATATAATCTAGGTACATAAGTTCACAGCACACTCTAAATGTTCAAAACTTGTACTAGGTTTATCTGAAATACACAATTACAGAATCATTCTCAGGTCTGAACAGCATCACACATTTCCATCTATGCTTATAATACAAAATGTCAGGAGTTTTCAATTGGTCGCTTTTAAGAACAAGGGGGCTATCCCGAAAAATGCTGTTTTGAGAAAATTGAAGGTAAAGTTTTTGGACACTTATTTAGTTTCTTTAAATAAAGACAAGGAGAATTTTCTCTATAACCAAACGAACATAAACACCAACTAAACCAAACTTCTCGAATAGGTAGGGCAATGCCCATTTCTGGTGTAGGTCAAGATTTCTGGAAACCCCCGAAATCTGGGTTAGCCTGCTTGTCCTTAAAAGCGAACAATTATTCTCATCATACAAGAAGACACTGCTGATGAATTCTATATTCACAATTTTCTGTAGTCTGATTTCAAACGACATGCAAGACACAGTGAGACACCTGAGGACAGACATTACCTTGTTCTTTCACTGATGCCCTAGATGCCGTAGCTGTTCTTTCGACCAGAATTTTACTGGTGAAGGACATGAACTCAGCAACACTGTTGGAAAGATAAACACATTGCATACCATTATTAAGAACACTTTCTTATAACTATAATTTGTCATTCTCCATATTGAATAACTTAAGCAAAGCTCCCTGTACTGTAGACCAAAATTAAAGTAAGATATTCTTCTGAATGAACTACACACTTACTATCTTCATCCTTAGTTTCAGTTTTAGTAGGAGTTGCAACACAAACAGGACACTTAACTTCCGAAAATTAGAGGTGTTGCAAGAGAATAACATTCAAAGAAAAGAGGGAGGAGAAATAAGGACGATACATAAGATAAGAAAGAGCAAACTAAACAAGAGCGCCAACCATCCGCCCACATCACTTTCTCCTCTTTTCATGTACACAAGCATCCACACACACACCTTCATATACATAGGAAATCACAAATTTACAAATCTCATCCACATTGAAAAAGAAATGCAAACGCTACTTACGTGGACCTTTGAAAATAACCAAACGAAGACAGTTCATTCTTCCACGTCAGTAATTTTCCTTTTCCTTCAGGTGTTTTAAGAAGGACTGCGATAGAATACAACTTCATTGCTGCTCTGTTGTAGATAAAAATAAGTCAAATGCATCAGAGGAGATGTACACATATATATATATATATATATATATATATATATATATATATATATATATATATATATATATATACATTTGGGATGAAAGCAGAAAATTTGAGGGCCTAGTATGAAATTTAAAATTTAAAAGAGCGTTATTTTCATGTTCTCAGCTAAACATACTTCCAAGGCAAAGAGTTTTGCAAAATGTAAGGAGTGGGAAAAATATGTTGTCACTGTAACCATACCACAACCAAAAAACAAATAGCCTATAAATTAAAACATATAACTAAACTATTTACATTTCAGAACAACTAACCACCTTAATAATATAATTTTATACAACAAACAATCATGAAAAAGACTGCCAATTAAAATTCAAGCACTGCAATCATTTTTAAGTTCATTAATGCTCATTTTTTAAACTCCCACCCTCCTCCCCCGATTTCTTATAAGAAGTGCAGCAGGCTATCGGAGTGATAGTATAAAATGACACATTATCGCAGTAGGCCGACAAGTGGACTGGCACCGATTCTTATTTTTGAATCCACAAATTGTTAACAGCTGAGAGGATTGGCTTCCAGGCATCACAGTAATAAAGATGGCCCAAATTGTTGGCAGTCAATATTATTGATAAAAGCCCTATTAAATAACAGTGAAACTCACATCCATCGAACATGGGCTCGATCGAAATCTGAAACTCACCTAAAGGAGGAATCCTGTCTTTGTAAAATTCATTATAATACAATAAGTTCAGTCAAACAAGGACTCACTAAAGTTGTTTGCCACGAGAACAGCCCCCCACTGAAGTGATTTAGCCCTCATTCTCTCCCAACAAACTTTATCTTCTTTTTTCCAAGGGCCGTAGACCATCCTGCACCGTAGATTATTTCATATTTATGCCTATCACTGTAGATTACAAACTGTCTATCATTGACACACAGCCATCTTGTGGGTCCAATCAGAAGTCTACTTTCATAACAACATATGTGTTGCATATTTGCATGTCACAGACATATGTTTGAGTGTGGGCCCGGGTCAGAAGAGCAGCCGGTACACCTATATGTGGTGGTGATGGTGGGGGGTTAAAGTGTCAGGCATAGACCATCAACAGAGATTCATTGCAGATGTCGTGTCATAATTCTTGTTCCCCCCGGTTGCTGAACAGTGATAGACATAGATCAATGTGTACAAAATGAGTTGCAAACACATCTGTGGAATCAAACATCTGGTGGGTCTAGTCAAAACTGGTTCTAGCAGCTTTACCTATGGTGTAATCTGTCACTTGTTTGGTAAATAATAGCATCATGTGGCACAAGCGTGTGATTGTGCGAAATGTGTTTTAACACAGCATGCTCTTTGGCTGTCTTTTGTATATTTTGTAGCACTACAGCACTTAAAGTTACAACTTCATGCAACAGCATTGGCTTTGCCATGCATACTCAGCTGTACAGTGGCAAAGAGCTGGATGTCCATAACAATGAGGGACTTTCATGTCTTTTCAGAGTATTTGTAGACCTTTTCAACTGTTTGCTATGCTATGATTTTCCTTCATGTCTACTTTTTGCTTTGGCTTTCATATTTCCTATTGCCCACTTTCAACTTAAATATCTATAGCTTTCTTACATTATACAGATGACTCCACAAATTATGAAAGAAGAATAAACTGCAATGTTTCAGCAGCATCTTAGATACATTTTATAGCAATATTTGCGCATGAACAATCATGAAAAATGGAGTTCATTTTTCATCTTGACCTAATGGTCAACGTCAAAGACAATAAAAAATACAATTTTCAAGCACCAATCAGATTTCAAAAGTTGGTTCATTGTAGGGCCTACTTTCATAAAACGTATAGCTATGTATCTCTGAATGTTTGTCTTAATTTCTATGATTTTTGAAGATCTATTAATTATCTTCAAATAGCCTCCACACTATATTATAGGTGGTTGTAGTATCAACAGTTAGTGGGTTGCTAGTAAGCTCATGGCTAAGCAACTATTTAAACAACTAGGTGCACACAATCTGTCCAGGAAAATAGACAATGAGATACTTACAGTCAATTTCCCTCTAGGGTTTGATTGCTTGTCCTTGTTTTTCGGTCGTTAAATATTCTTCTCAGAAACAGCAACTAGACTTGAGGCCCTAATGCCTGAAAATAAACATTTTCTGTGATAACCAAAACAGTATTAAAATTTAATCTGAAAATAACCCCCCCCCCAAACAAAACAAAACAACAACCACAGTATAAATTTGAAAATAACACCAAAATACCCAACAAAAACAGTATAAATTTGAAACGAAGTGTATACAGACCCGGTAACCGGGAACAAAGTCACGAAGTATACAGACCCGGTAGGTGAACTCTTTTGTGATTTTGGGAAGTTTCAGCGCCCAGACCCGGTAGAAATCTAGAGAGTGTGTGCGTGAGTGTGTGTGTATGTGTATGTGTGTGTGTGTGAGAGAGAGAGAGAGAGAGAGAGAGAGAGAGAGAGAGAGAGAGAGAGAGAGAGAGAGAGAGAGAGAGAGAGAGAGAGAGAGAAA